CACACACACACACACACACACACACACACACACACACACACACACACACAAACACACACACACACCACACACACAGTTATACACATAACATATATACATGTTCGATATTACTATAAAGTATATAAGGGTATACGAGATAGTATTAAAAAAATCACACGAGATAGTATTAAAAAAATCAATATATTTATTGTATAAACAAATTATCTTATGATTTATATTTTCATATACTCTTATCATTTTCCGCAATGACGTAAATTGATATTAATCACACAGGAAAATTTGTTATAATTCTGTGATTTCAACATTCTTAAGCGTTATTTCCTTATATTACTAATAGTATAATGTTAATGAGTGATTAAATGGAGTCTCGAGTACACAGAATTTTACAAAATACATAATATTCATATCATAGAATTTAGATCTTCAATAATTACAACTATTACAGTTATAGTAGGTGTTATAATGAGTAATAAGCCGAGGAACCTCAGAATTTTCATTAGCATACGCAATGTATCTGGCAGATGCTTATCGTAAGAAACATCTGATAGATTTAAAATAATTAAGTAGTGAATAATCTAGTGTTACATCTTTCGAAATATACAGAATAATAATAGTAGCTAAACCGAGTTAACGGACACAATATCGGATGATTTAATTTCCTCGGTAACTACAATTTTTACTTTTATCACATTATTTATAGACAGAAGATGTACATAATTGAGAATTACGAAACCAGGATATGGAAATGATGAAATCATCTATAGATGATTATTTATTTTCAGAAAATTTGACTTAGTTTATAACTACGATGTGTCATGAATAAAAACTGTTAGAATAGTAGTATCGATGAAATGTACAGGTACACAAATTAATATGTGAAAAATACTTCAAGGATGGATTTATATATGGAAATGATAAAAATGATAAAAACGATAACATGAATTTCCATAAACATGTCCGTTTTAACCTTGTTTCTCTTCGAGTTATAACAAGTTTTCTTTTCATTCAGGAAAGGCCGATGCACGACAACGTTTATTTTGACTCAGGTGTTATCTGCATAAAAGACATTTAACAATAAATATTCAAACAAGCGTTACTGAAAGTATAAGTCTTATTGGCGTACTTGACTATACGCCAATCAAATTCCCAAACATTCTGGAATAAGTAATACAAATATATTGCTACGTATATAAAAAAATAGTTTTTAATTTAACTTAAAAAATTTTGTTAAATCGACTAAAATATAACACGTAACATTATAAAGCTTTATTCTTCAAATTGTAACACTACAAGAGATAATTTTATTAAGTTAATATGTTTTATATTTTATTTTTATAGTCTCAAATTAATTAAAAAGCTCCCTTAGTTTGTTATTTAATTTATTTCCTATTCTTTCCTCAAAGTCATTAGATAAGTGTAAAAAATAGAAGTTAATATAAAACTAAAAAAGTTTTTAATAAAATAGAAATTTTATAATAATAACAATATAATCTTTCGAGAGATAGCATCTACTCAGTTAACAAAAATAGAAGTTAATATAAAACTAAAAAAGTTTTTAATAAAATAGAAATTTTATAATAATAACAATATAATCTTTCGAGAGATAGCATCTACTCAGTTAACAATAATATTGTACGGAAAGAATACTATAGTAAAAATTACAATATAATTTTGGTAGTCTGGATATAGACTACCACTATTACGAAAATTATAATAAAATATAGTAAAAATAAATATAAACATGATAATTTTTGCTATTTTTATGGTAATTTTTATTATGTTCATGATTTTACCATCAAATGGTTCATGGTTGAATGACTTTTATTATGTCTTATTATAATTTTCATCATATTGCTAGTTTATTCCCGAAGTACTAAAATTGTATTATAATTTTTACTACAATATTCTCTCCGTTAATTTTTACTACAATATTCTAGAAACAAGTTACTTTAGAGTTTCAACAAGCCTACAAATTATGTATGATAAAATAAGAAAACAATACGGCTGTCGAAAAAGGTGAATTCCCGCGCTGACTTGCGTCATTGTGGTTTTCCTATTTATTTTCGTTATACATTACCGAAGGTAATTTGATTTCATCTTTGGTACTAGACTGCGGCTTCAGTATTATTAATTAATTGATTATATTTTTAAGAAAGAAATTTGAGGAATATTTTCAGTGAGAAAAAGTTGACTGCTGGAGATTCTCAGAGGATATCGTTTTTACTATTCCCTTTTCATCTTTTTCCTCTTCTACTTTTGCCATTATATCCTCTAAATCTAGTTTTCGAATGCTTGATAGAGCTCGATATTTCAACCGAAAGAACATTACACTCGTCGCAGTGTTCAAGAGAAATTTTGAACGGCAACATACTTAGTGATTTTTTATAGGAAAAACATTACAATCATTTATATGTATCATTATAGGTAAATCGGATAAATAACAGTATAATTTTTGTACATGAATATTTGAGAAGTTCCACATTCTTACTAGAAAAAGGCAATTTATTTATATCATATATATATATATATATATATATATATATATATATATATATATATAATATACTTTTATATTTTTATTTTATCTTTCAATTTTTTATAAAACTTAACTAAATTAGACATTAAGTTTTTTTTTTATGATGGTAATCTTGTTTGAAAAAGTAATACTCGAGAATATCATGTAGAATTATTAATAATAAGATAGAACGAATGTTTTGATTTGTGTAATAATAATAAATGAAATGAAATGAAATAATAAAAAAATTAAATGTCTGTACACATTTTGTTTCAATAAATAAATATAGTATTATTTAATATAAAATCATGTGCAAGGTAAGCGCACATATGCTATATAATTAACGATTATTTATTGATGATCAGTTATTCATTGGTGTACATTACTGTCACTAATATTTATTGAATATCTGTGAAGAAAATTCATTAACCTAAATTATAAAATTATATAATCCATTAGTCTCTAATTTACTTGGTTTCGTTTTTATTAATTTATTAACTTTCAGGCTTATGAAAAAAATTGTCTTCGTTAGATCGTGCTCCGAGTTACGGCAAAGTCAAGAGTAAACGATGATAGCAGTGCGATTTTTCGTGGTCGTTTATCTTTGCGTCGGTTTGTGCGCTCGTACGTGTCTCCGCAACTGCCGAATATCAATTAACCGGGTCGGTCTGCGGATAAGCGTGGATCAGTGTACGTGACAGAAAACCCCTCATCGAGTGGCCCCTCGAGGTTGGATCGTCCGCGATCGCCTTTGAAATATATGCTGTTTGACCGGTACCCGTCACGGGGTACAATGAAGCTCGTTGAGGGTTGAGCGTTGTCACTTGAAGAGCTATCGATAACTTGTCGTCGCCAAATTACACGCGCCCGCACCACGCGATACGCTCATTGCGTCTGCATACATATATATAATATATATGCGATCGCGAATAATAATATAATAATCGCATACGCGTGTCGAATTACTGATTTCCTGCTCAGAGCGTATAGTCCTTCGCTCCTCTCCCCTCTCCTTTTCTCTCTCTCTCTCTCTTTCTTTTTTTCTCTCGTATATATATCCATTCCTATCTGCTTCGCGTTTCTTTCGCTCGATTCCTTTCGCTTGTATACTCGCGGCCTTGCGCCTGATCCTGTGTGCAGTAAGTACGCACTTATTGTATTCTATTTCTAGAATTATATCGATTGGACAAAGAAATTTAATTTGCAAAAAAGAATTATTTAGAAAAACTTACATTAGACTCTCGAATATTTTGGAAAAGTGAAAGTGTTCGGAGAGAGAGGGGGGGAGAGAGAGAGAGAGAGAGAGAGAGAGAGAGAGAGAGTGTGTGTGTGTGTGTGTGTGTGTGTATAGCAAGTCATTAAACGACGTATAGTTATAACTTTTATGCCCGTTTCTATCAATTTTGGTTAACTTAACTGGCTAGTTATTCGGCTAGTTATATAACGGAATTGACCAGTCGCATTTCTCGTTAGTCAGAATTTACAGATACGATTAGTTAATTCCGTTGGAATAATTAGTCGGTTAAGATGATCAAAGTTGATAGAAACGGGCATTAATATTAACGTAAGATATTTAAAATTTTCCTTGCGAGTTGTAAGCATAATGCTGATACTGATCATTGTTTTAGCCTATTTAAGCAAAATCAAAAATCACAATATGACATCAAAATAACGTGAAAATGACAAAAAAAGATTAAAGATGATTGAAAAGTGAGTTTTTTTAGTAATTTTTTGTTATTTTTATGTTATTGTGATGTTTTGTTCGGTCTGAATATATATTACGTATGTCTAGATATAGCTTCCGGAAAGCCTCAAATCTAGCCTCAAATCTATATATTACGTATCTTGCTTATAAACGCAAGTGCATTTATGATATATTTATGTTGTTTTATAGGTAGCCAAAGGATGTCGTCGACTGTAGTAAAAAATGTCGCGAAGAGTAGCAGCAGCGACGGCAGAGAGACTTGGTCGGGAAAACTTGATTTTTTGCTGTCAGTTATTGGTTTTGCTGTCGATCTCGCTAATGTGTGGCGATTCCCATACCTTTGCTATAAGAATGGTGGCGGTAAGTATATCTCGATGCTGACTCCAACGTGCTATGATATATTTCTACGCACTTTATTTCGATTATTTTGCGAGACAAGTGTTTCTTTCTGTCATTGACGGCACGATGATAGAAATACGATTTTAATAATCCCCTTTTTCGCAACCCACACATAATGCGTTTGTTACAAATAACGAGCTACAATTTCGCCGTAAGTATGAATCTGAACGAACGATATCCAACATTCTTTGCACGACAAGAGCATCGAAAGAGTAAAATAGATTTATATCTGCCACTAAACGAAAATAGACGTTGTATTATAAATTTTGTTAGAAGAAGTCAAGAATGCAAAAGACATTCTCAGATTCGATAATTACATCGACGAGTATGCGGAAACGGTATTAGAATTGATTATATATTCATACTCAATAGTAATTCAGCTATTTTCAAATCAAATTTAGCACTAGTCATAGATTAGTTCAATTTTTAAACTTACAATTAGTTCTAAAATGAAATAGAAATCAATTAAACTCTAAAGTTAAATATAACGACGCTGATAACATCAGTTTTAATTCTGATAAACGTTTCTAGATTCTGCTACTTCATATTTCCCTAAAGTACAAAATAAAGCATAAATAGCGATATGCTTCCGCACTATTAATGATGCGGAAAATTATAGTCAATTATAGTCATTTCTTTGACTATAATTTTCCGCATCATTAATAGTGCGGAAGCATATCGCTATTTATGCTTTATTTTGTACTTTAGGGAAATATGAAGTAGCAGAATCTAGAAACGTTTATCAGAATTAAAACTGATGTTATCAGCGTCGTTATATTTAACTTTAGAGTTTAATTGATTTCTATTTCATTTTAGAACTAATTGTAAGTTTAAAAATTGAACTAATCTATGACTAGTGCTAAATTTGATTTGAAAATAGCTGAATTACTATTGAGTATGAATATATAATCAATTCTAATACCGTTTCCGCATACTCGTCGATGTAATTATCGAATCTGAGAATGTCTTTTGCATTCTTGACTTCTTCTAACAAAATTTATAATACAACGTCTATTTTCGTTTAGTGGCAGATATAAATCTATTTTACTCTTTCGATGCTCTTGTCGTGCAAAGAAATTTCGTCAACTGCTCGACAAGCAACATCGACAGTTAACACGGGGGTAGGGTATACGTGCCAGGTAATGTACTCCAGCAGGCAAGCGATATCGCGCTAACTGGTCGGCTAATTGGCATTTACCTCGCGGAAAATGACCTCGGAATTTTAGACTTCGCTCGGCAAAGATTCTCGACGGCGAGACCTGCAGGTGTCTAAGTCAGTTCTAATTAAAGAGGGAGAGTAAGAACGTGCGTTTAAATTGCGGTTAATATATATGTATATATTACCGTTATATATATATATATATATATATATATATATATATATATATATATATATA